ATTGAAGATGGGAAGCTTCATTTTTTAGATTAATAAAAACGAATTTTTAACACAAGTTCTTATATTTTTAACATTTTAAAATATAGTCCTTCGTTATGCTCACGTTGACAAATATAAGATAGTTAACGATGGATTATATTCATGTAAAACGTATTATAATTTATGCAAGCATAATCATCTAGCTTCTTTAATTACACACGAGGATAACCCTTATTTTTACATGTCTTCAACTTCAACAACAAGCAAGCATAAAGAAGTACAAGAGTGAAATATGTAACAAAACTACAATAACCAACAAAGCTTGTATCGAGACATAAAAGGTTGTCATTTTTTAAGGTAAGATTCAATATCTTATGTGACACAAGTCATGGCGTGGAGGTACTTGTAGGATAAGGAATCTCATCATCAAGTTTCTCATATTCTACGCTTAGAATTGCTAAACTATGCTCGAGACCTTTAGGCACGGCCTGATATATTATTTTGAAGTTTTGTAATGCTTAAACACATCTCCTTGAAGTTCATTCATGATGATTGTAAATTTTTCGTCATCAAATTCCGCTTGCTCTTTGAAAACTTCAAGTTTTCCATCTTAACAAATCAAATACATAAAGAAATATAATGATGGCTTAGAATAAAAAGTGATTCGCGTAAACAAACAAGTAGAGCACTTACCTACGGTGTACTTTCCATGTCCTAACGGAGCTGTGGCCATGGTTGTCCCAATCACCTTCATCAAGTTCAACTTTTTGAACAAGTTTTGGGGAAATATTTGGGACATTAAAAGGTTGATCTTTGAAGACTTTGTAGTATTTCTCTGCAGCTACGTTTATTTCTATTTCACTCACAAGCTTCCCTGCAAGAGACATGGTTTGCTAACCCTCTTGAATTGCTTCACACAATATACTCAATCACACTTGAATACCCAATTCTTTGCCCTTTTTATACACACAAATACTCGTAATATTACCATTACGATTACAAATTAATACTCATACCATTACAACTACGATTAATACTCATACTATTACGATTACGATTACGCTTGATTCAACTTTTAGTTATTATTTTAATGGGACGTTGAAATTTAGAGTCGGTGTCTATTTAGTTTATAAAGGTTCTCTTATTCTCCAATCTCTTCTCCTTGGCTATATCAAGAAGACCTTTTGCCGTTTTGACAAGTAAGAAGTAAAAAAAAGAAAACTAAACTTGTTTGTTTCTCGAGAAAATGGGAGAAAAATTAAAAATTTCCTGTGATGGGTTGATTTTTAGAGCAATAATCTGTATTGGATTGAAGTTAAATTTTGGCCTTTTTCATTTCCACAAGCCATTAATGTGCTTCCTCGTTTAGATATATATGTCTTCTTCAACGCTCAACTCATTTTCACTACCATGCTTGTGGAACAATATTTTCCAGTTGGAGACCGAATTTTGTTGGCGGACAAATATGTGATACCATTAGCATTTGGAAATGATAGAACTCGAAGATGAATTGATAAGATGGGAGATCCCAAAAACAACAAAAGGGGGATCGGATAAGAAATATCGATAAATTGCAAATTATCACATTATTACTTTGAACTAAATGAGATAATTGTATGTTAGATTAATTTGAAACAAATTATAAGTTTGTTGGATATGACCCACGATCGAAATATGTCGAAACAAAAACAAATACTTGAAGTAGAAATAACAATTTGAGAGAAGAGTTCCTTATAACAGAAGAACCTTAAGCATGATGCTTTACCGTTCTTTTTGTTGTTACGTTTTAATGAATAATTATAAGGGAGAAAGTTTAGGAAAATAGTTACGTTTTAATGCAAATTATTAGTAGTTTTAACTGGGTGGACCTAATCGTTAACTCTGATTTTCGTAATTTTTTCTACGTAACTCGATTCAACTTAAATCCTTCACCAAATTTGAAGAGTTTTAATCCAGTTTTCTAAATGAAATTAACTTCATTAGGAAATAAATACGGTCAAAGTTAGCTAAAAACTCATAAACTTACCGTTCTCGAGTATCACTAGAACTCTGTCTTTTGATTCGCTTTATCCCCACATTCCTTCGTGAAAGTTGACGAAGTTACTTCTTAAATCATTTTAGACTAATTTTAGAATCTACGTCTTCAAGAAACTCGCCAGTCTAATTCTTACTTCTCCTTCTTTCTCATTTCTTAACGGATTTAAACGATTCAAATACCTAAACTAAATATTCACAAGTTTTTTAAAAAGTTCTACGAAACAAAATAGTCAAATGTAATATATTTAAAGATAACATATTATATTTAAGCAAACATTATATTTGAGTTTCATCCATTTATTGTACATATGAGGATACCCATTATTTACTTTCTTTTTTTTTTATACGAAACCCTCACCATCTTAACGAACCAACTTTAACCTAACATACTCGTTCATATTAGAATACAGGTCGAAAAGACAAAACTCAAATTTAGACATATCGAAGATCGTTATTATTTAAGGTGAGATTCAATATCCTTGGCGAACTTATGCATCGCATCATGGTACTTGTGAGGGTACGGAGGACCATCGTGAAGTTTCTCATATTCCAAGATAAGAATTACGGCGCTACGATTGGGTCCCTTTGGCACAAACTGAAATGTTGCTTTGAAGACTTTGTAATGCTCGAACACATCTCCTTCTAATCCAATCATACACACCACAAGATTCTTGTCGTCGAATTCAACTCGTTCTTTCAACACTTCAGCCTTATCCTCTTACAAAATCATATGACAACAACAAGATCGAGATCAGTCATTGAAAGAAAATAAACGAGTGAATGTAGTCGGTGCGGACTATACATACCGACAACGTAATTCCAGACTTTGATCGAGCCGTGACAATGATCCTTCCAGTCGCCGTTGTGAACTTTAATCTTTTGGATTAACTTTGGACAAACATTTACGACATGGGAAATTTCATGTTTGAAGAATCTGTAAAACCTGTGTGCAGGAGCGTGGACTTCTATTTCACTCTCAAGCTTCCCAACAAGAGACATGGTTTGTTGCTCGATTGGTTTAAGGAACACACCCACAGACAACAATGTTCAATGTTCTTACCCTTTTTATACACACTACTCATCATCATAAATTCTTTTACTATAATGTTTTTTTTTTTGTTGTTGTTTTTGTTCTTGTGCTGGCCAGCAGGCAATCTACTGGAATGGTTTGATCTCATGCAAATAATAATAATAATAAAAAAAAAAATTTTTAAAAAGTGTAGTAGCTTCCACGAATAACTTTTTTTTTTCTTTTTTTTTTTCTCTCTCTCTTGTTTGGTTTTGTAAAGGGTAGTTTTGGAAACTTCAATTTAGGAGTTCGAGGTAGTTTAGAGTGCCTAGTTTGTTCTTATAACTCGAGAACTATAACAGTCCAAGCTCATCGATTGCTGTCAACTTTACGGTTTAAAAATGCGTTTACCAAAGAGAGAATTTCGCACCCTTATAAGAAATGTTTCATTGAAAGAGGTTTTCTCACCGATGGGAAATCTCAGAGCCTCTGATACTATTTGTAACAACTTAAGTCCACTGCTAACAGATATTGTCCGTTTTGGCTCGTTACGTATCATTGTTAGCATCACGGTTTTAAAACGCGTAATATATATACATATATATAATTTTTAAAATAAAAAACTAGCTCATTAACATTTTTTTTTTTGTTGAATCAACTCTGTTAATTCAAAAATAGGGTTACTGTCCGACACTACTTTTTAGATTATTATAAATATTAAAAATATTTGACCTTTTGTTACTAATGCAACTAATACACGATAACTTCGATGTTTGTTAATTATTAATGTAACATATATGATGAATAAGTAATTTTTTTTTTAATAATAAAAAGAATAAATAACTGGACAACTCAACTTTTGATTATTTCAATTATTCTGGTGATCAATCCAACTAATTTAAAATTTAATGTATTATTCTGGTCACCAATTCAACTAACTCAAAATTTAATCAAAAAGATTTTGATAGAGACGCATATTTTAATATTAAAAAATTGTGAAAAAATTAAAAAACGAGAGATTAGTTTCCAGAAGAACAAAGATAGAGAAGATATTTTAATAATAGAAATCTTTTTCAAAAAGAAGGAAAAAAAGGTTAAAAAAAGTTTGATTAAATTATAAGAAGTTTTTTTTTTTTTTTTTAATGTTGCATTTATATAAGAAATATTTCTCTACAATATTATTTTTTGACATTTTTATAATTACATTCAAATTAATACTCGTATATTTTATATAAAAATTAAAATTTCAATTAATGTTTATATAAATTAATACTCGTATATTTTATTTTATATAAAAAGTAATATTGTAAATTAGAAAAAGAAAAATGATATTTTTAATACAAAAGGTTAAAAAGATATATTTTATAATTTAGTTTCAAAGTTTAGATAAGGACAATATTTTAATAATAGAAAACTTTAAGAAATAGATACTAAGCTTCACAAAGAAGTAATAGAGAATAATTGATGGGACAAAAATAGTAATCTATTTTTAAATCTTTCATTAATATTATTAATAACCACACAAAATTTAAAAGATAAATTAAAAATAATTATACTTATTGCTTTATTGTTCTATACCAGGATCAAATTTCCTATATCTAAGACTGATGTCCTGAAACGAGCTATCTTTGTGATTCCGCAGCTCACAAACGCTCACCCACCTAATTAGTAAGTAATATATTTATAATTGGATGGAGGCTCGACCTCGTCATATATTATTATAAGACCCGATCTCGTACATAAGCAAAATTTTGGGCTTTTTCTTTTAAAAAATCTAACTTCAGGGATTTATTGAGGGTATTAGATAACAAAATTCAAAATGCAGATAGAAATTTTCTAGAAATTCTAAAAATATATGAAAGAAAATATGAGAAAAAACTCTAGAACGTTAAGCTTTTTCGTTTTTGGTCAACTATAAATGTGTTCCGTTCTCTCTGTAGTTAACGAAATTGAATGAGAATAACCATTTCATGCATAAAGGATAACCATTATTTATTTTTATAAGCATAGAGAAGCACACAACTCAAACACGACCAAGAGTTGACTTTAAAAGGAAAATACAACACGTGCATACCATAATCAACCATGCATCAAAATGTGAGGGACAATAACATAGATTTCGAATCCAGACATAAAAACCTTTTACTAAAGGTGAGACTCAATGTCCTTAGCTAGATTATTCATGAGATCAAGGTACTTATACGGATATGGAGAGTCATCACCAAGTTTCTCATATTCCAACGTCAAAACCACCGAGCTATGTTCAAGTCCCTTCGGCACAACTAGATGTGTTGCCTTAAAGGTTTTGTAATGCTCAAACACATCTCCTTCTAATCCAACAAAGGTTACCGCCAGCTTCTCGTCATCAAATTCCACTCGTTCTTTGAAGACCTCATCCTTGCCATCTTAACCATCCAACATACAAAAACAATGTGTTATTCACTTAACCCTAATGAAAACAAAAACAATAAATCGATATCGCGATCGTTGATACATACCGATATTGTAGTTCCAGATTTTGATGGAGCCATGGCCATGGGAATCCCAATCACCTTCATGAACTTCAATATTTTTGAAGATGCCAGGGCTGATGTTGGGAATATGAGAAACTTGATGCTTGAAAACCTTATAGTATTTGTGAGCCGCTGTGTTTAATTCTAGTTCACTCACGAACTTCCCACGAAGAGACATTGTTTCAGAAACGGTGTTGGAGATTGGTTTGCAGATAAGACTCCCTTTATAGACACACACCCTTTGTGATGAACAAGTTCATGATTCTTATTGGTTATTTCTTGCAATTATTTGAATGGGTACTCATATATAATTGCATTTGGCCTACTCAGATATCATAAATATATTTTTGATGTTGATTAGGTGTATCGTAATTTGAATGGGTAGCCATCTTCATCTACCTCCTACCTCCTACCTCCTACCTCATACCTCCTACCCATCATTTATTTTCTGTATTCATGACCAAATGAGAAGTTTCTACACCATTACAAAAAATGTTTCGTTATTCTTTCCAACTAATGTGAAACAGTGATGGGGATCTCATCTAGGAATGTATCGTTACCCTTTCCAACTAATGAGGGAATGTTTCCGGGACGGTGATGAAGATCTCATAATGGAATGTTTCGTTATCCTTTCTAACTAATGTGGAATTGTGTCTGGGGCGGTGAAGGAGATCTCATATGGGAATGTTTCATTACCCTTTTCAACTAATGTGAGAATGTTTTATATATCCTTGTAAATAATGTTTCGTTACCCTTTCCAACCAACGTTGGATCTCATGTTGACCTTCATTTAGTGGATTTTCCATTCTTAACTTCAAGATTTAAAGCTCGGAAACATTAGTCTTTATGCTCCTAGCACTAACCACATGTATAAAATTAATTTTGGAATTTGTGCAACAAAATATAAGGCTTTTTAGAAGCACGTGTTGGGTGTGGGACAATTAGGGCATGAACTTAAATAATGGCATAACCAACCTCCACACCATATATTTACTTTTAGACATTTAAAAAAAAAAAAAAATTGAGAAGATTTTAATGACTTAAAAAAAAGTCATTTTTCGCGTTAAATAATGATATAAATAAATTTTAATATCAGCTTGAATATCCTAAAATTATATTAAAATTCTGATTAATCTCAATATAAAAAAACCTTACTAAACTATTTTAACCATTTTAAAATTAAAAAATTATGTTAGATTAGGTAACTTATTATAATTTAGTTTTTATATTTTTAAATGTTGAAATTTAGTTATTTTAAATCACTTAACCCTAAATTTAGTTTTCGTTAATGGTTAGTTTTTTATTTTAATAAAATACTATATCTTTCTATTGAAACTATTTTTTTAAAGCTAAGATTTTTTAGAAAATATTAAATATGATGAGTGTCATTGAAAAAACCTATTATTAATATTATAATATTAAATTAAAGTAAATATATTTTGCCACCCACCATGGCTTCTTTGTTGAAAAAAAAATGATAAAACTAATAATTAATTTCTATAATTTTTTTATGATGATATCTTATTAATTAAAAAAATTGGTGAATATATTGTACTTTTTTTAAAGATAAATAGTGATGATAGTACGGTATTAATATCCTTTTAATAAATTAAAATATTTTTGTAGTTTTTTCTAGTATAATTATATTTCACATCTATTTTTTATATACATCATTTAAAAAAAGTAATTTAGAAAAAAAAATCAAATTTTAGAGATAAAAAAGTATTGCAAAATTATTTGTTCTAAAAATTTCGTCTATTACATTTAATGAATTATAGCTATTTTTATTAAATTTTATAAATTTCGATAAAGTTATTTGTTAATACAAATCATTCGTGTGAAATTTTATTTTATTAAAATTAATGAAATTATGAAGACTTTTATACTTTTTTCTATTAAAATTAATAGATGAAATAGCGAAAATTAAATTAAGGTAAAAAAGGTAACACGTTTAAGTTTAGATAAAATTAAATGAAAATAAATCAAATTAATTTTTCTATATAATTATTTGTGCTTTCAAAGTTGTGGGATATCTATTTTTAATTTTATTTTAATTTTTGATATATAATGGTGGTCTTATTATCGTGTAGTATGTTCATGTTTGCATACTAACCAATTTAAGCATAATTTAAGCATAATATAACATAGATTAAAAATTTTAATATTTATATCGACATAAATTATAAAAAAGAAATTAGGAGAAAATAAGTAAAATGGGCCTAATAATGGGCCTTTTCATTATCCATTCCTTCCTCGGCTACAAAATGGGCCTCATAATGGGCCTATAGAGAATTTTGAAGACATAATTTAAAGGCCATCAAATTTTTGGTAAGATAAGTATGGACGTTTTAATTAAAATGTTCAATATCCTATATTCGGAAATATCAGCTTATGAAAAAAAAAATTGCAAAATTAAAAAAAAAAATGGTAAATTTAATACAAGTGAGTACCACGTGCTTTTCTCTTGACTCAAGAAAGTTAGGGTCTAAGTTATGTAGATATTTGAGTTTCTAGGAAGGCTTGAAAGTTTCGAGTGGTTCATTTACTTGTCACATACCTAACCGAGTCTGGAAGTTATTCACCAAGTTCTAGTGCTGCAAATTTACTAGAGGTGTATTTTATCTTTGGATGAACTATCACAATAGTGGACAAAGGTATCTTGGGTTGAGGTGTCATTTCATCGAATCTATTTGGAAAGTATGAAATCATCATTTATGGGACAAAAATGTTGGAAACTGAGTGATGTTTCTAAGCATGGAATCTGAAATTGGTTAAAGAGAGTGACTCGAGGGAGTGTTGTGAAGAGAACGAGAAGGATTTGGGGGGTTAGGTGCGAAGGGGAGCTAAAAACCGAGAAGACAAGTGGGCAATTTCTATATTTTTTTTTTTTTAGCAACGTAGATCTACTAGACGACGTGTCTTTAACACATGGGTAAACCAATTTTCAATTCTTAGACTTTGTTAGCTTAAATTGTTTTGGTAGTGAATGACTGGTATCTTGAGTGGAGGTTCGACCTCATCATATACCATTATAAGACCCGAGGCTTGACATAAGAAAATTTTTCGATTTTTCTTTTAAAAATTACAACCCGAGGAATTTATTGAAGGTATTCCAGATGTGGTAAAAGATAATGATGCATTTTTTAATTCTCTCCATAATTAACAAAAAATTGAAAGAGAATAATCACTTAACCATTATTTATTTTTATAAGCATAGTAAAGCACACAACACAAACAAACATCACCAACAGCGAATTCCAAAAGGAAAACACAACAAAGAACATAATATAACCAACGACACATCAACATACGAGGGAGGGAGCTTTTACTTAAGGTGAGACTCGATGTCCCTGGTGAGATTATTCATGAGATCAAGGTACTTATATGGATACGGAGACCCATCATCAAGTTTCTCATATTCCAACGTCAAAACCGCCAAGCTATGTTCAGGTCCCTTTGGCACAACTTGATATATTCCCTTGAAGATTTTGTAATGCTCAAATACATCTCCTTCTAATCCAATCAAAGTCACCGCCAGCTTCTCGTCATCAAATTCCACTTGTTCTTTGAAGACCTCATCCTTGCCATCTTAACCATCCAACATACAAAAACAACGAGTTATTCACGTAACCCTAATGAAAACAAAAACAATAAGTCGATATCGCGATCGTTCATACGTACCGATATTGTAATTCCAGATTTTGATGGAGCCGTGGCCATGGGTATCCCAATCACCTTCATGAACTTCAACATTTTTGATGATGCCACGGCTGATATTGGGAATATGAGAAACTTGATCCTTGAAAACCTTATAGTATTTGTGAGCAGCTGCATTTAATTCCAATTCACTCACGAACTTCCCACGAAGAGACATTGTTTCAGAAACGGTGTTGGAGATTGGTATGCAGATAACACTCCCCCAATGGCTTCCCCTTCTTATACACACCCTCATGGAGTGATGAACTATTTTATTATTTTTGCTGTTTAATTCATCAATTATTGCATTTGGCCTACTCAGATATCATAAATATTTTTTGATGTTGATGATGTGTATCATAATTTGAACGGGTAGCCATCTTCAACTACTACCCACCCATCCTTTATCCTTACCAGTAGATATTGTCCTCTTTAGAATTTTTCTTTCGAGTTTCCTTTCAAGACTTTAAAATGCAGATACTATCATCTTTAGGCTTTTCTTTCCGGATTTTCCCTTATGTGTTTCGTTCTCCTCCTCAACCAATATCGAATATCACATATGAAAATGTAGAAAAGTTCATTATAGTGATTCGCGAAGAATAACATCAGAGAAGATTCTCGTCTATTAAAGAAATGAACAAAATATATTTTTTAGTACGAAGAAAGCTACCGCTAGTTGATATTGTTCACTTTGACCTGTTACGTATTGTCGTCACTGTCATGATTTTAGAATGCGTAGAGTCTATTAAAGAGAGGTTTACACACACTTATAAGAAAGATTTCGTTATCCTCTTCAACCAACATGGGATCTTTCGCTCCGTAGATTTTCTGTGGTCAACTTCAAGATTTGTACGGAGATAGAGATTCGAAGTCATGTTTACCCTTCCAACGGATCTTAATTTTAATTATATTGGAACTTGTGCAACAAAAAGGGACAATTAGGGCATGAACGTAAACACCTTTTAATTTCAGCATTTCATTAAAAATTATTAAAAAAAAAATTAAAGAATGATGTTATAACAGCTCAAATATAAAGTATATTGATGAACCTTGTTTGAATTTCAAGATCTATAGTTTGGACTTTTTTTAGCAAGATTTGAAATTAATAAACAATTGTTTGAATTTTTTAGACAATAATTTAATTATTTTATAATTTAGTTTCCTTATTGTAATTGGCAACCATTAATTAACTCCCCTCAATATCGGGAATATTTATTGCATTCACATTACAAAAATATTTTTTTTATATAGTTGACAGATAATTATTATCCGAAATTAATAAAAGAGAAACTCGATAACTCAACTCGAAAATAGAAAATAGAGAGTTGAGCTAAGTTTGGTTGTAAATTTTATTCGGATGGTTCGACTAATTCAGTATCGTACCTAATAATTTAAATATATTTAAAGTAAATGAGATTCTCGTGTAGAGTGTTATAATCATACTTGGACATTTTCTCCCACTTGTGGGGCAAACACTGACAAATAAAGATTATGGATGGGTATTATTATTATCATTACTTTTTACATAGAAAAATAA